GTGAGAGGGCTGACTCACCTGCACCATTACTGTGAGGAATAAAACATCAGCACCTCACCTGCTCTTCAAACGAACAAACTTCAGCTACTGCTGTTTCTCAAACAGGTGCAGAGCTAAACATGTAGAAACATCAGACTATACTCATTTTTAAAAATCTATCAACAAATATAAAGACGCCGATAGTCAGGTAGGTGTAGCACAACCCTTGAAAGATAACAACTACAATAACGGAGGATTAAAATAACAAATTTTCTTTTAAAAGCTGCGCTTCATTGCATAAGTGAGAAACAACAGCCTGTAACTGTTCATACGTATTCAAAGTTAAACTGGTCTGAACCCTGTAACGCATTCTCTACAAATCCTGAGGAGTTCGCCACGGTTCACCAACTGTGATGCCATTTCAGCAAGTTAATAAACTGATTTATATCTTCATATCTGTTAAAAGATCACTTTCTCTTTCTTATGGCCTTTATTGGGGAACAGAAAGTGATGAGTGAAAGTCAAAATTGTCAAGGGCCATTTCCTGGGTATTTAGCGGAGCAGGATATGCTGGAGAACCGAGACATCTCGCATTATCCTCAGTTAATGCAATAATCTGGAGTATAAACAGATTAACTACTCAAACGCTGATGTGTAGATCTCAGTCTCAAAGGTGAGAGAAAAGATGTCTTTGGTTTGGAACAAACAGCAGACCAAAAGGAATATTCACCCAAAAATGTACATTTTAAATGTACTCATCCTCAAGCAATCCAAGATGTAGATCAGTTTGTTTTTTGCATGAGAACAGGTTTGTAGAAATGTAGCATTGCATGACTTTCTTACCAATGGATGCTCTGCAGTGAATGGGTGCCGTCAGAATGAGAGTCCAAACAGCTGATAGAAACATCACAATATTTATTTAAAACTGTTTTAGCTTGTAAACAGTGCTTGATCTGTGCATATTTCTTGCCTGATTCAGACGAGATGACCAGAAGCAAGGTTTTGAAGTTAAAAAAATGTCTTGATGGATTTGTTTCTTGCAAACTTACAGCTTTTGTCTTCTCAGGATGTTAATTGATGGACTGGAGTGGTGTGGATTACTGTGATGTTTTTATCAGCTGTTTGGACTCATTCTGACGGCACCCATTCACTGCAGAGCATCCATTGCCGAGCAAGTGATGTGATGCTACATTTCTCCAAATCTGGTGAAGAAACAAACTCATCTACATCTTTGATTTTCAGCAAATTTTCATTTTTGGCTGAACTATTCCTTTAAGATTTACATTAGAGGTTGACCGATAGCTAGGTTTTAAAATGAACACTGAAGAAAAAAATAAAAATAAAAAAATCAGTACTGAACCATACTTTGTAAATGAATAAAAATATTAATATTAAATATTAATTATATATTGAGTTAATTCATAGTTCATTAACTAATGTTAACAGAAGCAACTGTAAAATGTAAAAATTTATTAGTTAATGCTGAAATAACAAGGAACAATACTTCTACAGCTTTTATTAATCTTAGTTAATGTTGGACTCAAATGGACTCTTATTGTAAAGTGTTACCATTTCATATAAATCCAAACAGTCATGCTTAAAGATGGCCATCTTTAAATATCTACACAAAGACCATAGCATTGAAATTACATACATATGGATATTGTATGTATACTGTCACACTTTATTTGCTACAACTCACATGTATCGCACACGCTGGACGCATCGCGTTCAGTTCAAGTGGTCTAAAACAGTTTAGACTCCAAACGGGCAAAAGTTCACTTCAAGAATGATCAGAAAAGTGGCACAGATGAGTTTGAAGTTCGGTGTAAAAAAAAAAAAAACGGAGCAAAACGGAAACAGAAAGCGCGATCTATATTATAGCTCTCTATGTGAAGCATACAGATTTTATTAGAGCCACAGAAAAAGAATGCTTTAAGCAAGAATAAAACCAAAACTTTTAAACCTTTTGACTGGTAGTGTAGGCTGATTATTCTTATAGATTGAAACAAATGTGCTTCAGCCAGAAAAAAAAGGGTATGAAAAGTGCTCCGAGTCGCTGCAGAAAACAAAAAAAGAACAACAAAAACTAAATGTTGCTGGAGACAGGATTATTGAAAATGCAAACTGATTGTCTGCCAACAGGAGGCGCTTTTAGAGTGATAAAACTAGCGGTTTCTCCAGTAATGGCTGTAATCAAAGCAGCTCCGCTCATGA